GATCCTCACCTAGGGCAATGTGGCCTCGCCGCATTGAATCTCCTCGCTTGACTCCCTGGTTGCCCCGCCCGCTCTGCAGGTCGCGAGCCATGAGGCATCACCGCGCCGCGGCCGCCACCTCACTCTGACGCGACCACCCCGGGCGAGGGATTCGAATCGGCCATGGCGGGCGTGATGACACCCGTCCAGATCCCCGCGATGCCCCAGGTGGGGCCTGCCGCGCCCCGATTGAAGCGCCCCAGGGCGGATGCCTGGGCGATCGTTGCCACTCGGTGCCGCCGGCGTGCTAACGCGATGCTGTTCGTTGGTTTTTGGGCGCTGAGCTGATTTGGCGCAGGCCTCGCGGCCACACCCTCGTTCAGCCGCGGTGCCACCCGGCGCCTTTGCGCCAAATGCCAGCCTGGCTTGCTCCCTTTTCCTCGGGGTTTGCGTGTGCAGTGTCTTATGACGATCCGCGCTCGCCTTGTGCCCATCAGGTTGACATGCGCGACACGGACGCCGGGCTGCAGCTCCCCGCGCTGAGCCTGGACCACAGCCGCGTTCTCAGGTGCGTGGATCTTGGCAGAGGGGCTGATCTGCAACTGCGCGTCCCGGGTGTTCTCCCCCAGAGCGGTAGACAGGATCCCGCTTTGTTGGAGTGCGTGGAATGTTCGGTCTGAGCACCTGTTGGATCTCGTGGGCCCGTTTTCACTGGCCCCAACCTAGCCCCAAGTGAGGGGTCCCCGCTCTTCGTCACCGCCAGGGTGCTGCTGCCAGGATCGCGGATGCTGCTTCGTTCCAGCGATGTGCGATCTGCGCAGAAGCCTATGTGATCACGGGTCAATATTCAAGAGTGTGAGCGCCTCTGTGCTTCTTGTCGGTGCAGTCAGTGGGAGAAGATGGGAGGCAAGGTGGAATTCAACACGGAGTCCATGTTTCCAGAAAGTTTGTCCGTTCCCGTGGATGGGTCGAATTGCTTTAGACCTGGCGACAGGGGCAGGTACCCCATAATCCAGGGTGGTCTGGATGGGGCCGCCCCAGCATCCATCTGGGTGGATTTGGGCAACAGTGTGTCTGTGGAAGCACTTCAACAGGCGCAACTAGTTGCGGCCCCCAGCTGCAGGGGTGCTGTCTCCGATCTAGATGGCCTGGTGGGTGAGTGGCAAGTGTCTGAAAACGGTCAGCTGCTGTATGACGACTTTGGATGGGCAGCTGCAGATGCCCGACGAGTGGCCGTGGCCGGTGACCAGACAACGGAGTGCTGGATGGATGACACACTGGCTGACACTGCCATCCGGCGCAGTGACCGGCTTGAGGATGTCAAGCAGTGGGCAAACAAGGCAGCCTCAACAGCACCTTCGTTTAAAGTGGTGGGTAGGATAGCATCTGAAGTTCCTTGTCTTCCTTTATCAGCAGTAAGGGTGCCTGCAATCCCCCAAAAGACTACCTGCAGTCCCAGATGCCTGGCAGAAATTGTGGGATGACTGCTGTGCCCAGTTTGTGAAGTTGTCAAGGTGTTTGTGCCAAGGTGTCGCAGCTCTGCATTCTCCGGGGTGACCACTTGTCACTGTTGTGACAAGGCAGCTGTGTTGTCAGATATTCCTGTTGCCTTCCTGTTTTGAAATTCTTCTGCAGCGTGTGTTCGGTATAGTGCAGAATGTCAATAACCTCCTGGAAGCAAGGGGCATCCCCTTACTGAGAAGGAAGCATGCTGATTGTTGTGACACTCTGTCCAGGTGGCTGCTTGTCCAGTTGCAGCACCTGCACAGCCACAGGCCCAGACGCCAAGGCGTGAGGCACGCAGTTACCTTGAGACAGCAGCCGTGTCCAGCCCATTTCCCACAGCTACCAGTATGGGAGTTTCTGCTAGACCTGGAGCCACATCCTTCATCGTCCCACTGACTACGGCACCCAGTTGCATGCAAGGTGACAATTACAAGTGTTGTGGGTCTTCCTGCCATGGAAAGTGTATATGCAGTGTCAGCTATGCAATGACAATAGCTAACAACAAGGCCTGTGGAAGCGATTCGCATAGGCATGGATCGGTGTTCAGACAGTCTCCTCAGATCGAACTCCCGGCACAGTATGTGTAGCATTTGCCACGTTGCAGCTGTAGATTGTTGACCCTGGAGCAACAGTAGTGCCTTGCCCTAGCAGTTTCCACGCCGCAGCTCAGACGGTCATCCTCCCCCCAGAGCAATGGGAGTCTCTTGCCAGCCAAGCGTTATGGTTGGCAATATCTGCCAGAACTAGCAAGGCAAGGTATCTAATTATGCCTCAGATGGAGGACCTTCCCACAGCTCCTCTCAATGTCATTGGATCAACAATTACCAAAAGTGTGTCCTCAGTGTGTGCTTGTAAGCTTGCGGGCTCGTGTGGCTGTTGAGCTGGCTCTCAGGTGTGTTTCTTGATCTCCACTTGACGAAAGTTGGTTTGTTGTCCGCAGGCATGAACTCTGCTAAGGATGTGAGGACCCGCACGCAGTGCCTGCAGAGGTATCGTGAAAAGAAGGCACGTCGTCTGTACACAAAGAAGATCCGGTACGAGCTGCGGAAGATAAACGCTGACAGACGGCCAAGGATCAAGGGGAGGTTTGTCAGGAAGGAGGAGCTGGAGGAGTACCTGAGGCAGCAGAGGCTCCCCAAAGAGAAGGTGGGGGCGCGAGAGCCTACCGACAGCAACAATGACTTCGAGGACAGCGATAATGGAGATGACACTGCAGTTGGAGTGTAGGATGCTTGCTGCAGCGTGCAGTGCGCTGTGAGGCTTGTGTCTGTTTCCTTCAACCCCCGCTCTTGTCTCCATTGTTTTTAGCTGTGTGATGCCAATCTGTGCGTGTGGTCAGCTTGCCTTCGATCGTTTTGGGTGGTGGTTTCTGTTCTTTGGACCAGTGTTAGTTCAAAGACAAACGATGGGGGAGATACGCTCCCAGTTCTGGTTGGGTGGGGGGGAGGGGGGCCGCTTGTAGAAATGTACAAGTAACAAGGTGGTAGTCTCAGAAGTGTGGTAAGGGAAACCGCAACCTGTGGCCCAGCCTCACACGAGCTAGGAGACGTGTTGACATGTGGCACAACTCATGGAAGTTAATAGCAGACCCCAGCAGTTGGGAATGGCCGTTGTCTCGATGCCCAGCCACCCATCTGGCAGGGTTTCGGTCGAGCCGTCAAGCCCTGTGGCCCTGCTGTGAGGTTTGAGTGGGGCCGCTGCTAGCTGTCGGTGCAGGTGGGTTTTCTAGGCAGATGCCTGTGGCGCCTGCTTTGAGAGGGATTTTTGGGTCAGTGAATGGGGTGCCTTTGATTGGGTGCGATTGGGGGGTGGGGTGGGGTGGTAGTGGGTGGGGTGGTGGGGGCTCCAGTGTACAGTTTGAACCTTTCAGACTTGAACTCTACTTCACGACGTCGTGTGGGATTTCTTAATTTGTGAAAAAGAAACGTCTGTAAAGGGGGGTGCGGCAGCCCGCAAGAGACGGGACGGGACGATCAGGGCCGCTGAAGATCAGGCGCGGCGAGACACAGGCCAAGTTGCCTGGTACGATGACTTTGCGAGGGACTGGTGCTGCTGTTTTGGCGATCCCTATCGTGCAGGCGCTCCAAGGCCCCCCATAGGACACCTCATATCGGTTCAAGCGGCTCCCAAAAGAATGAGAAACAACCTGTGTTTTTTCTGTTTCTTTTAACGGGACCCTCGTTGGCTCAGCGACGTGGCACTTCGGGCGCAGCTGCCGTCTGTTTTAGGGTGCCATGCGGAGTTTCACAGCGGGCGAACGCTCTGTGCAGTATGTTGGAATGTGAATCGGGAATGTCAGGCCAATGGGTCGCAAGGGCAGTTCTTCAGCGCTGCTGTGCGGCGACACGGTTTGGGATGAGATCGTGGGCATCGGTGCCCGTGAGAGCAGCTGGCGCTGTACGCAGGAGTGAGGGATGAGGGCCCGAACTAGGTTTAGCTGAGGAGACAAAAGGATGCGACTGTAACATGTACTTTGTATTGCTGTGCTATTGACGTGCGTTTGTCAATCCGCCTGCCAGTGAGCGTGCCCCTTGTTACGCGCTGCTGCTGGTTGTTCCAGCTGCGACAGCTTCCCCATCCTTTCTTCTACCATTTGCGGGGTGCCCCATTTCTTAGCTGTTGGCTGTCGGCCCTTGCCAAGAGCTTTGCCGCCCTGCATCTCGTCAACTCGCCACGCCACGACGAGTAAGAGGCAACGCCATGTGCTGGGGTGCCAATTCATTCCAAATTACAGCTAGATTACAGCGTTATGGTGCTGAATCACCCTTGGCTTATTCGAACGGAGTCCGCAATCGGTGCATAGCCCTTGCACTACCCTTGATTACCTTGAACAGATTGCTGCAAATGCTGTGCACCGACAGCAGAGTTCCCTAAAAGCAGATAACCTTGGGTACGGTGCGCGATGTGGAAGGACGCGTTAGTAATGATTGCATCGGCACAGTTGTTAAATTCTCCAGGTTGGTGACATCGGGGGATCGGACATGCCCTGTTGCCCTGCGGGGTCGGTTTATTGCATGTGCCAGGGCATAAGAAAAAGAGGTCGTTTTCGCCGACGCACGTATTGCCCTGCAATTCTCCACCAGTATCTTTTCCAAGTCCAGATTTTTTACATATCAAGACAAGGAGGTGGCTGCCAGCTCCATTTTTTGGCCCAGAAGAGTGGTGTCCGCGTTTAAGTATTGAATGGCAACACATTAACAGAAGCCATTTTGCAGGAAGGGGAGCAGGGGCAGAAGCACGAAGCGAATTAGAATGCAAGGGCGAAAACACTTGAGCGGTTTTGGCGTACATGCTAAGGGAAGCTATTATTTTGAATTTGGTACGCTTAGCGCCAATGTGACGTTAAGCTGAGCCCCCCCACCCCACCCCTCCTTACCGCCAATCCTTATTACGAAGCCAGGATGACTCATCAGCATTACCAAACAATGCCATACCACTTCAAGATAGTTTTAAGGGAATATAGGACCGAAATTGTGGCGAATGTAGTGATTTGAAAATGACATGTCAAGAGCCATTACAAGGGCAACCGGGCAATGTCCAACTGCACGGCGTCGCAATTTTGGAAGTTGTAAAACCTAATTGCCTTTGGGCCACAGTTCAAATGTCGCTGTTGGCTTCCTCAAACCCTCTCCCCGTTGTGCAATCGTTGCCTAATAGATTTGTAGACAGAAAAATCGACTCACACATGAGATGGAGACCTGCAGTAACCCCTGTGACCTGTAGCCGGAACTGGCGAGACGTACTGCATGGGCGCAACTGCGATGTGTGCCGGTAATGGGCACTACGCAACGCTTCGTCCCAGCATCCAGTTCAAACCCGTTTTCCTCCTCACAAGACATGCAAACGGTGATGCGTGCCGGCGGCCAACCCTCGGACCCTCACCCGCAGGTTGGCGTGATCGCCTGCCACGATGGCGTTCCTGACATCCAGCTACTGACACGCGACGCGTGGACGGGCAAGCCCTGGTTGCCCGTCCTGTTGCGGCCATGCATCGAAAAGATTATGGCAGCCCGTCCAGCAACACGTGCTGGGTGACGCCCAAGGGCTGCGAGTGCGTGCCCGGCCCGCGGCCCGCACGCTTATTCAGATGCACATTGCCTGACACGCGCGTAGTCAGAGTCAAATATGCCGGCTTCCCGTGACGGGTGACCAGCCCCACGTTGCCCCACGCTTCCTGTGTGAGGGTGGTTGGGTGGGTGGGGGGGTGGGGGGGGATTCCGCGTGGACCGGCTACCAGTTCAGCATCTCTATCGCCTGGTGGCAGCACTGCGGAGTCCAAGAGGCACGGTTGGCGTTCCAGGCACGCCCCGCAGTCGCACTGTCCCAGCACGCACATTGCGTCAAGCCGTATGAATCGCCGGTCAATCATGGACTGTGCGACGACTTGGAGCAAGTTCTGTTCGCCCATCATGCGCGGACTGCCGATCCGAAAAGGGGCTGCGCTGCACGCATCAGGGCAGCGGCGCACTCTGCGCGTGCTTGGATATTTCGCCCAAGTAGCGCGCTGCGCCAAATTGTGCTGGAAAGGATGGCCTGCTACGACCGTCCCGCCGTGCGGGCGGGTTTTTAGGCATCCGACTCCAGAGAACCACCCCACCTCGTCGTGTAGTTCAGCCTCGCCCCTTGCCGTAGCGTCGTCGCTCCCTCGGTTCTTTGCCAGAGCCGCGCACCCGCGCATCGCCACGGCCGCGGCCGCGGGCTGGTGCTTGCCAGGCGAGTGCGCACGAACTTCCGGCTCCCACTCGCGAGCATGTTTCCGCGGAGCATGTCAGCACGAGCGCCCTGTCCGTGCGGGCCCAGCCTCGCTCGACCTCGCTCAACCCGGGCATGGTCAGGGCAGCTGGCCGGTTGTTGTACATTGGGGCCGGTGGCGCTGTATGTTGAGCCCGGGAATGGCCACCAGTCGATCCGCACATCCAGTTGCCCCATGGCACCCAAGTTACGGGATGGATGCGCCATGACGGGCAGTCCACGAGCCATCAAGGGGACCCTCATCGTACCATTACGGCCCATCCTCGGACATTTAAGCTTTGCGGGGAAGGGTGCACATCCACAGACTCACCGGCTGGGGGTCTGCAGCCGGGGAGCCATTCGGAGAAGAGGAGCCCATCAGAGGCGGGGAGCGGCGCCTTGACGCACGGGAGCCTGGGACGCGGGGCACCTGAGAGGTGGGGCCAAGGGGTGGGCGAGGGCAACCGCGCCGGAGCCACGGCGGCGAACCTCGCATCGTCCCCTTTCAAACCTCTGCTTTCAAAGCGTGCGGGCGGGATCGTCGCATGCCTCGTGCTTCGCGACCCCCTGCCGGGACGCCGACCACGTGGACGGCCCCGGTTTAGGCTCGCCCTCTGAGGCCGCCCGCGCGGAGTTCCGCTCTTGGAGCGGCGCGCAGCGCCCAAGGAAAGAGCGCGTGGCCGGGCGTTCGCGTGCAAGTTTATTCGGGCGGCGCGCATGACGCACTGGCGGGCCCACGGTCAGGAGGCCAGATCGCGCTACGGGTGGGGGAGACGCGTCGGGCTCAGGTCCTCGCGCCACTCTGGGCGGAGGCCAGCCTGTCGGCACTCATGTGTCTCTTGCGGCTTGGGGGACCCGGTGCCGCAGGCCATGGGTACGATGTTCACAGTTGGGGGCGGCTGAGCATGTAAAGTCCCTCGAGGGCCGTGCTCCAGGGGGCGCGTCTGGATGGCGGTCCCCGGCGCGGCGCCCGTCGTCGCTCGGCGGCTGCGCAGGCAATCTGTTGAGCGAGTCGCCGCCGCCCTGGGGGCTCTTTCCAGAAACGGCGCCTTTTTGCCAGCGGGGCACGCCAGGTGCGGTTGCGTGAATTGTTTGGCTCTTCCGACGGCGAAAGCCCCGCCTGAGCGTCTGGGCCTCCCGAGAGGCACCCGACCGCGCTCAAAAGGCTCCGCCGTCCCTGTAATGTGTCCCGTTGCAGTGCGCCGCGGTTTGCAGGTGCCTGGGTGAAGACCAACGTTGAGCTCGTTTCCCTGGGCAAAGATACGCTCGGGGTGGCCCTTCAGTATTCTCGTCAGCGGTGGTACCACGCCGCACGGGCCGCGCCGTGCAAAGGCTTGGGCGCCAATCGATTCGGAGGCCTGGACCGGGCAGCGCTGTGGTGGTGATGTAGATTACTCATCTGTATGTCCGTTTTTATGCGATCAACCGCAGAGGCTCCAGCGTCTAATTGAGTATTTGTTGGTCCAGGTGGCCTTGGGGGGATGTCAAGGTCAAGAATGGCCGCCCTGATGGGCCTCCTGGTGGTGGCTTTAAGTACAGTGGGAAGCGTGGAAGGTAGCACTACACCTCTCAGCACAACATCTTGAAATTCATTTGTTCTGACAATGTGGCTTTTGCCTGTTCTGGATGCAGTGTCTGCTGTTGGCTTGTCTGCTTTGCGTCTGTGGTATTTCTGTTTGTTTTCCATTCGCCGGGATTTGCCAATTCCTGTCAATCTCGTGCCTCCTGTGCAGCATCTATTTGGTGAGCTTTCTTTTCTCCTGATCGCATTTCGGTCATTGGTATTGAGAAAAAAAATTGGAACGCTTGTTGTGTTTCGCTTAGTATTCCACATTATTTTGCACATTAAGCAACAGAATGGACTCAAATCATATCCTGTGCTGCAGGAGCCAAGAAAGCCCTTTCCTTCGAGTGGGTTCCAGAATACCCAAACTACTACATTGGAGAGAAGGACCTGTCATGTGTCATCACAGTCAAGGTGAAGACAGCGCAGTGAACTGCAAATAAACAGTACTTTCTGGATTCCCGAAGTATACCTTTCATCCAACATTGGATCAGAAACATTCCACAGTCAATTCGCAGTTCACCAGCAGCGGCTTGACGCTCATGGCAACTTGCGCCCTCATTGTGACCCCTGCAGTCGCCATTGCCGAAAGACTCCGCGCAGATGTGTAGCGATCAATGTTTCCACATTGATCCCTGGTTCTGGAACCTCTTGCAGGCTCCCAAAAAAGTGGCTGCTGTCCGGGCCCCAGTGTCCGTCACCGCCGTGCTGGATGCCTCCGGATCGATGGAAGGACTGCCACTTGCAGCTCTCAAGAACACTGCTGAGTACATGGTGGAGGCCTTGGGGCCAGCTGACTATCTTGGCGTCGTCACCTACAACGACTTCGTGAGTACCACTGCAGATTCCCCTCATCCATTGACAAACAAAGCTCATGGCATCTTTACATCTGGCTTCACATGTTGAGGTTGAAAATGTCCCAATTCCTTGCTGGCAACGATGCATGTGGACAGAGCTCATGAATTTCCCGTCTCCAGGTATACGAGACTGTGGAACTGACTGCAGTGGACTACTCCTTGAAGCCAAGCATCAAGGCCAGCCTCCGATCCATCATAGCGGGTACGCAACCTTTTCCTTGGGGTTCTGAGATACCATGAGTGTGGGCACCATTTCATTGTTTGTGAGGTGCGGTGTTGGACAATCAATACGCAGGCTGGTTGTTGCAGAATTGGAAGGCGCGGGAGGGCGTTTGGGCTGTCGTGGAGGATGTGATTTCTACTGCCTGGTGTATCGCTTCTGGATGTTTGTTGTAACTGAAAATGGCACTCAAGAAACGGATTGGTCATGCAAGACCTGAGCAACAAGCCCTCCTGCTCCAGGTTTGACTGGAGGTGCAACGAAACTTCAGCACCAGCATTTTGTACTGACACAGGTGGCGGCACCAACTTGTCTGGCGGCCTTTTCGCCGGTATTGACCAGCAGAAGAGGGGAAGGGTTCCCTACTCGAAGTACGTGCTCCTCTTCACTGACGGCAAGCCCAATGGAGGTACGAGCTCGGCAAGACATTAATCGATCGCCTTTGAAGCTAGACTTGTCTACCTCATTGTGCTCATTCAGTGACTGCTTCCTGTGACACCATACGCACGATTCCATGTTCAAGCGGACAGTCGTAGGACCTAACTTGTGTTTTGCCTATGGCAGATAAGTGATACCTCCAATAACTTGATATGCGATGCAGCAAGGGCAACGCAAATAGTGCATTGCGACAGGTAGTGCTGTCGTGTCGGCGTGTTGCTTGCCACAATTCAGAGATTCTCAGGGAGCGATAGTAACTGAAATTAGTGCCACAGCGTGGAAAAAGAATATTTTGCGTCTCGCTATCTGACAAGGGATGTTTGCAGAACCTTTGGATAATTTACCAAAATGCTTTGCCATCCTCATGAGGATGACCCGTTCATCTGTTGCTGCCATTATTGAGGTGCTAATCTGCTGTTCCAGGAGTTGAGGACATCAACGAAATTGAAGCGTATATGTCGCAGGAGCTGGCTGAGGATGGTTCACCCATTGTGTATACTCTCGGCTTTGGATACGATCAGGATCCGAACTTCCTTTACGTAAGCACATGTTGACTTGCGTCCGGTGGACGCCGTCCGCTACCATTGCCTATGTAATGTGTTGCACTCTCCGTAGTCAAGGATATATGTTGCCTCAAGGGCGGCGCTAATCGAGGCCTGTGGTCGGATAATTGTTGTCTGAGGCCATGGCGACCTATGTCACCCACACTTCTCACCCATACCACACACTCACTACATGGTTTTCGCGTCAACTCTCTTGTCTATGCCTGTCCAGCATGCTTGGCTTTGGGGCAGAATCCAAATGAGATGGATCGCCCCAGCACAGAGTAGCACTGTTCCGAACTCGCTCCACATTATTCCTGTAAGACATGCTGATTGTTGCAGCGGTGAACGCCACTGCGGCATCAATTTTCGGTGTAGTGTCTTGAAACCTTGATTACAAAACTCCAAATGTTGTTGCTCAGAGGATCGCACACACTGGGCGTGGAAGCTATGTCTACGTAAACAGCGCCGCGGACATTGCGACGTCCTTCGGACAGGTCCTCGGTGGCCTGCTCAGTGTGTACGCACACGACATCCACTGCACTCTGACCCCTCTCGGTGGTGCCACCATCAAGCGGGTGCAGACCGGTGGCTACATTACACCTGGGAAGGAGAGCTGGCAGTAAGTGTTGGAAGGGCAGTCAACCAAATTTGATGACCATGAACTTGTGGGAATGCAATATTGTTGCCGGTTCCAAGCTTTGATTTTCAGCCTCTTCTTAACTATGTTTTTGCTGCCCTTCAAAAGCAAACAGTTGCCTTAATGCGTGAATCAGTGAAGTTCTTTTTCTGTTTCTTGTCAGTTTCCATGATGCAAAAAATTCATGCACAGCCTGTACAGGACATGCAGCAGCTCCTGCATGCATGTGCATGTTGTTGGACGTGCCGACGTGCCGACGTGCCGACGCAGTTTGGAAATAGATGCACTGCGCTTGCCTCCCTGCTTGGCACAAAATACACAGACCAGGCTCGACTGACATGCACACCTCCCTGCCCTCCTGCCCAGGCTGTTCTTCGCCGATCTGTACGCCGCGGAGAAACGCGATATTCTGATCGACATGAAGATCCCCATCCTTCTGAGGCCCCAGAGCAAGCAGGAGGTTCTCAGGGTGGATGTGACGTACTTCGATCCCTTCACGGGGGAAGCCTACAGCGCCAAGCCTATTATTGTCGTGATTGAGCGCACGCTTGTCCCGCGCCCTGTCTACATCCTGCCCGCTCCAGTTGTGGATGTCTCCAGGGTCCGTTACCGATGTGCTGCGGTGAGTGCCCTGGCAGCCGGGCATGGGCGCGATTTCCGGCAAAAGATGCATTTAAATAATCAAGTGGGTCTAGTTTCTGGATTGCTCGCGAACTTTTAAAAAGTTGATTGCCGATGGCTTGCAGAAAGGTAGTGGCAAATGTAAACATTGGCCATCAGCAGTTGGCATATTTTCACCCCTCTGTGCAGCAGAAGATGCCGTTATTCAGTTGAAATGTATGAGAAAATGATGCAACAGCACAATTGGAGGATGCAGCATTGTCATTTCTGCGTTTGTTCTTCTGAGAAATTGCCATTTTTCCTAACATTACACAAAACAATCATATCACGAACAGATTCCGAGCTGTGAGTAGTCACAGCACCCAGCACTTGCTGAATCGGACGGCACACTCGTTCCAGGACATCGAGGAAGCCGTGGTCCTCAGCAGCCAGGGGAAGTATCTGGAGGCCAAGAAGCTCCTTGACGGGACTCTCGCCTACATCGCTGGCTCCAGCGTCGTCAATGACGAGGAGGTGCAGCAGTACAGGCAGGACTGCATCGTTGTTCAGGACGTCGTCAAGAAGGAAGAGGTGAGCGTTGAATCTGTCCACATTATCTTGAGACACAATGCCAGTTTTTTCCACTGGTATCACTGACCACGCAGAACTAACATCGGTTGGAAGACTGCTTTTTAAATACAATCAGCGGATGCGCCTGGGGAAGGGCGGCGAATGGACGCCTCCCTTGCAAGCCTTCGCGTTCTCCCCGCCACCTGGAGCAACACCGCGCGGCGCCGTGGTTGTGTCGCCATCCTAAAACAAACCTCAAGCACCATGCAAGGATATGCAGTGAGGCCGCAGCACTGGCAACACGACGGCGCCCGCCTTGCTGCTGGGCCGCTGGAGGCTCCGAGGTCCATGAATCTGCCCACCGAGTTCCCAAGCACACCTGAATTGCGTTCATCCTGACGGCCGTTCCCTCGTCGAACAGGTGATCCCCGCACCAGTCGCGGCGGGCTACGTCGCCGCCGCCAAGTCCATCGGCGATCAGCGTGCGGCGGGCGTCACCAACGATCTCAAGGGGCCAAGTTTCTACACCACCGCCCCCAAGCAGGAGGAGGCCAAGAAGGCCAAGGTGTACGCGGAGCCCGTGATCCCGGCCGAGGCCCAGTCCACCGCCGTGGGCTTCGCGGACGCCACGGTCAGCGACGACGGCAAAGTGTACGCTCAGGCCAACAACGAAGCCAGCGTGAACGGCGAGGACTCGACCGCCTACTCGGATGCCACGTCAACCGCGAACGGCGACGATGCGACTGCCACATCCACCGCCGACGCCTTTGCCGACTCGAGCGCCACGGAGTCGGGCAACGCGGACGCCACGGCAGCCTCCGATGCCACCGCGACCGGCGAGGATTCCACTGCCACCGCCGTCGGAAACTCCACGGCGCTGGCGGGCGGGGATGGTTCCGCAACTGCCACCACGGACGCCACAGCGAGGGCGCTCGCTCCTGAGGGCGGGGCAACTGCGAATGCCTTCGGCACGTCGGAGGCGTTTTCGCCCGACGGGGAGGCCATCGCGACCACCAACACCTTCGCCGAGGCGCAGGCGCCGGAGGGCGCGGCCACCGCCATCGCCGACGGGACTGCATTCGCGCAGGGGCAGGACGCCTTCGCGGAGGCCCCCTCCGTGGCATATGCCGAGGGCGAGACGGCTGATGCGTTTGCCAATGGCGGCGCGACGGCATTCGGCGGGGATGAAGGCAGAGCCACCGCGAAAGGCAGCGGGGATGCGACTGCTGATGGCCAGGAGGGCGCCTTCGCCGCCGCGGCTGCGCCCGCCTACGCCTCCTCCGGAGAGGAAGGCGTCTCCACTGCGATCGGCGACGCGACCGCTACTGCCACCACCGAAGAAGGGAACGCCGAGGCGCAGGCCAACGGCGACGCGACGGCAGCATCCGGCGACGGCGGCGTGTCCACCGCGCAGGGTACCGGCGATGCGTTTGCCGTTTCTGCTGAGGGCCCCGCGGTGGCCAATGGGGCTGCCAACGCGGATGCCGCCGCTGGGGAGAATGGCTACGCCGATGCAACGGCCGACGGCCTTGGCGTCGCGTCGGGGACGGACGCCACAGCGACTGGGTCGGGCGACGCCACGGCGAGTGTGGGGGATGAGGAGGCCAACGCCAGCGGCAGCGGTAGCGTGCGCGCGACCAAGGACGGCGTGGAATCGAGTGCCGAGGGCAGCGCCTCGGGCGACGGCGCCAAGGCCACCGCGTCGGCGACCGCCATTAGCGACAGCAAGCGCGGCCCGCGCGGGAAGGCGACGGGCACCGGATCGGCAACCGCCGCGGACGGCGCCGCGACCGCCGAGGCGAACGGCACCGCCGTGGCCTTCGCGCCGGCCCCAGCGCCGGAGCCGGCGCCTCTGATCGAAGGTTGAGCGGGGGAGCGCGAGGTAAGTCTGGGCGCCGTGGGGCAGACGCGGTGTGTGATCTTGTCGGCGCTGGGTGCCTTGGTGCGGCCATGTGCAAGGAATGGCGTGGCAGCAGCAATAATCGCCCATACAGCCAGGCTGGCGCCGGGTTGGCTAGAGGACCGCGTGCGTGCGCTGGTGCGGGATTTGGGCCTTGCAACATGCAAGCAAATGTTCCGTGGAAGGCGTCGAGCGTCCCAGGGGTCAGTCGGTGACGATTCAGTGACGAATTTTTGGTCACAGGTAACAAGGAGGTCAGGAGAGTGACCTTGTGGCAGATGTATCGTGGCAGCATCGGGGCCAATAATAGTGCTGACTTCGCGCCATTTGTCGTAGCACTTCGATGGTGTTCCGTTGAATGAGTGTATGAACAGTTGAGCGTTGTCGACAGCGGTTCTACGTGTGCATGCGCCGCGTTTTGTCTGATGCGTTTGTTGTCGGTGCAGGTGTCGCAATGTCTTTGGGTAATAGCTAGTTTGACCAGGGAAGAGAGTTTCCGAGTTCTCGATTTGAGGCGCGGCGAAGTTTTGGCACAATAAAGGACCACGCCGATCTCTTGGAAGCACAAGCCCACGAGTTGAAATGATGATCACATTTCGAGAATGCATCGAACAGAATGCTGGGCGGGTCACAGTCCGTGGCAAACCATTCGGAGAGCTTAGATACTCGTGGCCAGCGGGATTAAAAAGTTGGTGGGCGGGGAAATAATGTCATAAGGCTTTGCTTTATGTAATTAATTATTGAAATTCGATCCATGTAGGCTCTTTAAGGAGTCGCGACAAGCACATTGTAACCCACAACTTGCCGTTCGGCTGAAGTCGACTGGTAGCTCAGGCGCCTGGTGCATGTACTTACCTTTGGCACCGGTGGAACCCACTGACGAATTGTGCAGTCTTATTCCAAAAGCTCGAGTTTTCATTCGACAGTGCGGCCTCGCCCCACAGATGCGAAACTGCACATAAACGGAGCACAGCCGCCCGAAGATATGAGGATCGTTCGAGGTGCAGAAGCAAGGGTTGTCAGGTTAACAAGTCCCGTTGTCCTGGTACAACCACCGATCAAGAGGCTATCACACCCCCTGAGGGTAGAGCCCACATGACGAACGAGGTCACCTAACATTAGGAGTTCGGCTAAAGTTTGCTTGGTTCCCTTGCCTCCTATATTGTCCGAACTCTGGAGACAATCTATGTTCCACAATGAAATCGCCTTGCCGCTTCACCCTCTGCGCCCCCATGAAATGCAAACCTACCCATGGATGTCTTGCCCATCTACTGAGAAGTGCCGGGCGTCCCCTAGCTGGGTATTGAGGTTGTCGACTGCAAGTTCACGAGGCGGCCCCGTTGTTCTGTCAACACAAAAGGTGCCGTCGCAGCAAGAGCCGCGATGAAGAGCAGACTTGCCTATTGTACTTTCTCTGTTTTCAAAAATGAGGAGGCGCAGGGCTCGCCCAAGACTGGCTAGCTGGGCTCTGGAATTGGTCATCAATGAACATGACGGGTGCAGGTGCATTCCAAAGTTTGCGAATCATCCACTGCTGCCAATTCCAGGAGCGGCCCGACAAATTGTAGAGTCAACTCTGGGGATGACTGACGCAAAGAGAGCTGACGCCATGTGTAGTGTGCCATGTGTTGCACAAGACATGTGGTCATTCAGCTATCCCGTCCCAAAATTCATTTCCATGAATTGTTGACAATGCAACATGGAATATAAATTCAGTTCAGCTTCTTCAGCATCGGTTGCATGTGTCGAGTTGATGGGAAAGCTTGTGTTCGAGTAGTTTGGGCATGCAAGGCATTGCAGCAAAGCTCGGTGGTGGAAGGCAATTGCTGCCGAAAGGGCGGTTGCGCTCCTCCTGAGCAAGACAAAATGCATTTTCCAGGAGCAATCAACGCGAGAACATTGAAAACTATTGGCAAATGCTCACACCTTGTGGGTAGAATTACTGTTCTTCACTGCCATACCACAAGTGCGAGCTGCCATCGCATCTCACACACCCACTGGCCATTGATTCAAAACTTTTAATTCTTGATCTTGCCTTATTGTACAGTCGGCACATACTCATATGTTACAGGCAAGGCCATGGGCTTGAGGTCCCATTCGAGTCTGTCGCCCTCTGGGTTCACCCTTGGTCGCCTCTTGTATTCAGGCGCTCTGCTATCTCGTAGGCCTCGCCAGTCAATCCCCATGAAAAAGGGGTCCGCCTTCAACTCCCTGAGGTCTCCAGAACCCAGCCTGCTCCCGGGGTTGACCACCAGTAGCGTGCTCACAAGGGCATTGGCGACATCTGGGAAAGCCTTTGGATAAGAGGAAGTCCCACTGCCTATGTTCTTGTAGGTCAGGTACTCGCTGCCAGCCCGAAAGGGAGGCCTGCCCGCCAGCATCTGGTAAATATAATTAACTATCCTGTTAATGAGTTTCTGCTAAGGACGATATTGGGTGGGTGCATATTGGCCAGTATAGGCCGTTCCGCCTCTAGGGCAGTTTGGGGCCATACATCGGCCGGTTTCTGTCACCCCTGTACTCGGGGTCAATTCTGCCCAGCAGATCCAAGGGCAGTGGGGTTGAGCCTTATACGTTGGGCATAGCCAAGGGGACCGGTCAAGCTGGCCCTTGGGTTTGGCGGGGAGTTTGGTGGCAAGTGGGAGCGGCTATTTTAGGCGCGACCCTTGGCGCCCCCCTGTATCTTGTTTTGCTTTGCGCCAACACTCTAGCACAACCCGGAACCACTGAGTGGTTTGGCCCTCCGGCCTGTGCGCCGAGTGCTTTCTTTATGAGCCCCAGCCCTGCCAAATAGTGGCTGTGGGCCCAGGCGCTTCGTTTCAACTAGCGCCTCCCTGACCGACCCATAGAGCTCACGTGGGTTTCCTACCCCCACTTACTCCTGCGGTCAGTCAACAACCGGGTCGCCAAGCCTAACTTCACGTCTTTCCCGGCCTAGTTTAACATATGGGAGACATGGGATTAACTATCTTGTTAATAGGTTTCCGCCCAAGGCGACAAGGGGCGGGCGCGCTAGCTCCAGTTGGACCAGCACTGCTTAAGTACGATGGTTTTGGCGGCCTCTTGGGGTTCCTGTCCCCCTATACCTTAGGTCAGTGGCCAGTTTGTTGCGTTCAAGGAGGGTCAGTGGTTTTTGGTGCCCTTGGGAGCGGCGGGCTTTGGTGGGCGCGAGCGGGGGAGGCTACTTAGGCCCACCACTCGGTCCCTACCTTATCTTGTTTTGCTTCATGCCAAAACTTGGCACAACCTTGACCCACAGAGTGGGTTGTGACCTTCGGCTCTTCCCCAAGTTCTTGCCTATGGACCCGTCCCCTGCTGAGTAGTGGTGCCGGGACCAAGCTCGCCGGTTCAACAACCGTATTTCGAGCTCCGCTATCAAATCCTGCTAGTTGCCCAACCTGGTGCTCCTCCCCCAGTTAGTCAACAACCCGGTCGCCCAACCGGTGGGTGTCCGCTCCCAGTACTGGTTTGACGTCTACCGCACCGCCAAAGGGAGCGCGGCCACCAATGCCTTGAGCGCAAACTCCAAGTACTTCCAAGAGTATGCGGGCTGGGCGCCTTCAGTCTCCTGGCTGTTTGATGCGACTGCGGCCTTCGTGGAGGTGGCCGCCTATTGGGATCTACTGGCGTCCATACGGGAATTTCTCCTCCCCTACCTATACTCATACGTGGAAGTCACCGAGGCCCTCCACGACCAGCTCTCCTTGCAATGCATCCACGCCAAGCACGAGGGCTCAGGATTTGAGGGCTCGTGGCAGGCCATTTAGGTAGAGATCCGCCTCGCCAACCGCGGCCTGCACTTCGGCACCGTGCGCATCGACGGGACCATCGAGTGCATGCGTAAGGAGCTCCTTACGCAAGAATTGAAGCACGCCACCAAGACTGCGGCTGCCAAGAAGTCCTCCTCCCCCCCATGGACATCGGCCCAATCGAACGGCCCCAAGTCCCACAAGGGAGCTCGAGCCCTGGCGGCATCCCCCAAGCCATCTCCGTGAGGGACTTCCTATACAAACGGGTCCGTGGACGCCTTAAGGCCAAAAGCTTTTGGCGTGGTGCCAGATCGGCGCTCCCTCTCTGGTCCTTCAATGGATCCATTCCGGGACCCCCCCTCCTTTGGGGATTGCGTGGACCCCCGGCTCCCTTCGACAAGGGCTCCTACTCACTCTGATCTTTGGAGGAGCGGGTAGCATGGCTTTCCCTCCGTGCGGAGTACCTCTCATCGGGGGCGATCGTCAAGGTGGAACCAGGCCTGACCTCGCAGATCTCTTGCGCCTTCCTTGTGGAGAAGGGGCGGGAGGATGGCGAAATGAAGTACTACTTGTGCATCGACTTGCGACGGGTCAACCGTCACCTTTGCAACATGGGCCTTTGTTCCGAGAAGCTACATGACTTTGGTCATTTACTCAACCACAATAACTCATTGGTTGGTTTCGATATTAAGGATGCTTATCACCATCTACGGGTGTGTCGATCGGAGGAATGCTTCCTCCAATTTCGGATGGGTGACGAAGTTTTTGCTTATCAGGCCCTTCCGTTTGGTCTCTCCTTGGCCCCATTCTTTTTCACTCAATTTATGCTTGTAGTGGGCCGTTTCTTGAGGTCCCTAGGGAGCTGCACCAAGGTAGCACACCGCTTTCATTTTGGGGATGACTCAATAGCAAATTATTTTTGGGTGTACATGAACAAACCGCCAGCTATTCTGCTAGCTTATCTCGACAATTTTTTGGCCACTATGCATGATGCTGCCCGTTTGACTTGCTGGTCAGGGTTTGCGAGAGGGGTGTTTGCCTCTCTGGGCATTCAATTCAAGGAACAGAAATGTCAATGGACTCCAGTTTTGCGGAAAAAAGCATTTAGAGGTGATTGTGGACACTGCTCATTGTCGTTTTGAGGTCCCACCGGAGAAAGCAGTTTTGGTGACCACTCGGGCCCGTGCTTTGCGTTCTTGTCATTGGGTTGTGGCCCGG